ATTTAGTCCGTATTTGAGTTAGTCTTCCCAGATCTGTCATTGAGGTTTTGTGATGTCTAGTGTTCGATGTCTGCCCGGATCCCTTAATAAACCCCGTTTGTGCGTATTACCGGCTCTACTCGCCTGCTTCCCCGCTCACCTGCTTGCCTATACGTGACAATTTGTTTTAAAGTAATTCAATTTGAAATTATTTAAATTATTTATGAATAGACTTTTATATTTTTATGAAAATAGATAAACTTTTGTATATCTTTCTAGCATTTTCCATTTAAACCATTAGTTACTCAAATGTAAATTGTTTTAAACAACTAAAAATGTATCTGCAATTTTAGCTGCATGTAGATTTGTATTGTTTAGCATTATATTATGAAGGGCAACACAAACACAGTTCCTGTTTCTACAGTGCATACATGTAGTTTAGCTAATTGGCTTCTCTAAACTGCACATAGTGAGGATGCGCACATGTACCCTGCAATGGACTAGCATCCCACCCAGGATATACCATGGCCTATAGTGCCCTTTACTACCTGGGATACACTGTAGGCCCTCCAGTGACCCTGACCAGGATAAGCAAAACCAAAAATGTATTAATCAGATTGAAATGTGACTTATGAATCATAGTTTTGGAATCAAACCTTAAAGTTTCCCACTTTTCAGAAATTAAGCATATATGAAACTCAGCTACAACACAGTATGGTTATATCAAGGTTCATGTTATGTTGCGCCATTGTTATTCGTTTGCTTAAAAAAAACTTCCCTTGTCATACAATTATAATGCTTACCCACATTCTCCATTGTGTAACACCACAACATCATATAATATTATGTGGTCTATTTTCCTCATAAATGTACATATACTTCTTGTTTATGAATTGTGTACACATATTTAATTATCACATCATATTTAATTATCACATTGTATTTAAGATATACTGTATAGATATCAATAATTATTCTATACAGACATTCTACAAATAGTAACTGTTATCTTCCATTCCTCTTCCAGCCATTTATCCAGTACAGCGTCCTTGGGAGCCTGAATCCTATCTCAGGCAGCAAAGAGAAGAAGGCCCTGGGTAGGATGTCAGTCAAATACAGGGCACAAGGCGGGGGATACCCTGGGAAGAATATCAGTCAAATACAGGGCAGGGGGCACCCTGGGCAACATATCAGTCAAACATAGGGCACAAGGCAGGGGACACTCTGGGCAGGAAGTCAGTCAATCACAGGGTACAGACACTATCAGCAAATCAGAGATGCCATTTAGGCTAACTGCGTTCCTTTGGACTGTGGGAAGTAACCAAAGTTTCTACTGGAATGCCATGCAACAAAGACAATACTGACAGACTGAGCAGGTGTGGGATTTAAAGCCCAGTGGTACTGTAGAGGTAACAATGCTATCCACTGAGCCACTGTGCTACCTGACATTTATAACTGTCATCTATATCTTACATCATCATATAGAGATGAGTTAAAGTCAGAGTGTATAGTAGAGTCTGTGATATAAATATGTTCATGTTATGGAAAAATAAAAATAATAGCACTAATCACAATGTCAAAGAATGAGTGAGTCTAAGCAATTCCTAACAATGTGCTGTTTGCCTTGCATGTCAGCACTTCCAGACAATAAATAAGAAACAAAGTATCATCAGGGCACCAGACTATTCCAACTTTTTTTAACTTTTCCAGTGATAGCACTGCAGCTACCAGCTTTCTCAGGTGGTCACACCAGCACATGATTTGGTTGCATCCTTCTTTTTAGTCCATGGTATTAATCATTGACCTTGCATGCATTAGAAATGGTTTGCTAATTTGCATACCCTTATTGTTATATTGATGGAAGACTGACAGTGACTCAACACTTGATATACCCCCTTCACTTTAGTGAGGGTTAGATGCCTGTGAATGTGACAATTTGCGAATAAGAGGCTACTTTTAAGACACCCCTAACTGCTGCCCATAACAGCCTGCTAGCCTGAACGATAGCATAAAAGTCTATTTATTGCCAATTTGTAAACAAACAGTACCGTACACTTTGCATGTCACATTACTTTGTCATTTTCTATCAAGACATTTTTATATAATATACAAACAATCTAAATGATCTCCCTGTATGTTGAAAGTTAACTACTGTATGCACTGGGAGCACTACATTTTGTACTCATTATTAAAAATGTAAGATTAACATAAATTAAAGTTTAAAAGATTGAGAGAAATGCGAGATGTCAAATGCACAAATGTGGAGTTAAATGACTGTTTTTGCAAAATATTATAATCTGAACATTAGATTTAATAACCTAACTCTCATCATCACTTGTGTCTGTCTTGGGACCTCTCTTTCCATGCTCCCTCTCTACTAGCTTCCTCCTCTTTATTCTGATTTTTCTAAAAATAAATAATCAGCTACAGACCACTTCCTTCTTTAACACAAGCATGTTTTATTATCAGTGCACCTATATATATGTACTCCTGGGTGCAGGTAAGAAGAAACCAATTCAGTAAAAAATATGCACTGAACCAGGGAAGAAGAAAAAAAACTTCTGTGACGAGGATGAAGTTGGCTACTTATTCGCAGCTCCTTATTCGGATTTCTCGCTCCACCTTAAATGCTGCACAGCCGGATGCAATGACGCAATTGCGCCTGTAGCGGGACACATTTACTGAGGCTTACCTTAAAAATTTCACTTGGCTTTCCGTTCGTATTAACATGTGTGAAGGTAAAAATCCATTTGGTTCTTGCCTGACATTTGTCAAAAAATGTCACCAAATGTGAATGTCAGTAATGTCCCCTGTTAGATGTAAAGGTGAAAACACATTCCCTGTTTACAAGGGAAATTACTTTCAGACATAATACTGAAGTGAATTTTTAGTGGTCCAAACCCTTTAAATTCCTGGGCTCCTGCCTGGAAATCATCACATAATGTTAACCTGATAAGAAGTCATATTTTTGTTTAGATGTAATATTCTGTCATGAAAATGTTTAGGCCCTTGGATTTTTGCTTGGATATGGTCAAGTTATGAAAACCAATGCAAATATAAAGGTGCAACACACCTTTTAATGATTAATTTAAAAGTAAATACAATTAAGTCATATTATTTTCAGATGTCATTTTCTATCATGCTTAAGTGAATTTCCACAGTATTTTCTTCATGCTCGCGTCTACCTGGAAGTTTTTACATTAGAGCATTTAAGTCCTTTTTCCATTTTGGTCCATGCATCAAAAGAAGTCACATGAATTTTATATGTAATATAGAAATGAACATAACTGAATGTACATAAAAGACAAAACATTTATATACAATGGTCTATCATATATACATGTACTTGACTAGGTAGCTGATGACATTACAGAATTACATTGTATTTTATGAAAGTTTACAGAATTACAATTTAACAGTTTGACAAGATATCCTAAGCCCCCAAGTGTGAACTTTTAGCGTCTTTTAGACCAGCAAACTATTACTATAACACATAACATAATTCAATTCACTCACCTAAACAGGTCTGCACTGTCTGTTGTCAATCTGAGCAAACTGTAACATGTCTATATTTGAATAAACCAGGGAAAGAAAAACAACAATCATTGCAATCTTTTATAAATCAGACGAACCATAATTCATGTGAAGTTGAAAAGTCTATTTAATGTACACAAATTTATGTTTTTAGCCATAATGTTCCGATTTATTTGAGCTGCATTGTGGCACAGTAGGTAACACTGTTGCCATAAATTGACATCTCATTAATCTCATCAATCTTCTCTGTATGTGGAGTTTGCTTGTTCTCCTTGTGTCTCACAGGATTCTTCCTGCAGTCCAAACACAAGCAGAGTAACTGGTGTCTCCAAATTTCCCACCTGTATGCTTATGTGTGTGTTTCAGTTGTAGTGTTTCAGTTTTACCCTGTAATAGGTAACATTTCATGTAAATGAATTTTGCTGCACATCATTGTAAAGTGTTTGCATGTAACATAAACAATGATTACAATCACTTGTCTAAAAAACATATCCCATATAACTACACTTTTGTAGCTCTATTATTTATGAAAATAAACCTTAGGTTATCCCACCTGTCAATGTTTTGTTGTTTGACACTTTATATACCAAGTTGCCTCAAGGTGTTTGACAAGTGTGTGTGTGTGTGTGTGTGTGTGTCTGTGTGGCAATACATTACATAATTTATTCAGAATGGTACAAGAAACAGGAAAAAGATAGAAACAAAGGCAGATGACAACAGAGGAGAGGAACCAAAAACTCCCAAGTAGGTAGAAAAAAACCTCTGGGGCTCCAAGATGAACTGGCTGCCCAACCCCCCAGGGCATGCTAACATTATAGAAAACAGAGATAAAGAGTCAGCTTTAATAAAAGCGGTGTAACCTGTAGTCATGGTAAAATGAATGAATCAGTTCTCCAAGCTGGGCAGCAGATCGTAGGCTGCACACATGATGACACAGTTCCTAAGTCACATACACAATATCACGCTTCCATGCCACTGAACCAGCATCACAGCTGAGAAGATGCCCACCACAGGCAGCATCCAGACAAATGGGTAGGGAAACAGAGGACACTGATGGTCAGAACATTCACTGATGGACACACTGATGGACAAGCACAGATAGTAAACCATAAAGGCATATACAGCACCAGCAGCCATAGTTGCAGTGTACTATGTTAACCTTGCAGTACACTCAGAAATATTTATACCTGGGTCCAGCAGACTTGATCATTGCCATATTGATCCCAGGGTCAAATAATGTTCACTAAATGTCAGTACTTAAAAATCTGGATTGATGTTTTTCACATATGGCTTGCACATTGTGGCATCATGCTTCACTATAGAGTATAGACACTATCCATCCATCTATCCATCCCACTGGGGAACTGGGCAATAAAGTTATTCACTATAAAACTGACCAGTATCGTTCTCCGATATTTCTTGGTAAAATTAAGTAAGGTTGAAACCCGGAAGAACGTGATAAAATGATGCATGATGGCCAGGTTTATAAGCAGGACTTTCCTTCTTGTACTGTAAGCTGCTTACTGCCCTCTCTGTATTCACTTCCAGGTCGCTTTGTCACGCCACGTTGCCCGCTGGGAGGATCCGAGCTCGTCACTTTTACGTTCGAGTACCGTCAAAGTGCTGGTTACTTCTTTTGCGTTAAGCTAAATTAACAATAAACTACTCTGAATTGCTGCAGTAATCTGCAGAAAAACGAACAGGTCGGTCGCTTTTCCTGTTTCTATCGTACACCATGGATAATGCGTTGGCTATGTGGATGTCGGTAGTTCGTCAACCATTAAATAAAGATGATTTAATTCTCGTATTATGTTGCTAAATATCGTATTCTGAAAAAACTGCCAAAGTACAAAAGTACACATTAGTTAAATGAAAGCCATAAATGCTTTTTCACCACTGACGTAATGGTATGCTATGCTGGCTACATGCTATTAAACGTGGTGTGCTGCATCTGGTCGTATGTAATATAGCACTTTCTTATTAGTACCGGTTAATGGTTAATGCTTATCTGCGATTTATTGTTGCTGATAAACTTCAACTGTGCAAATAAATATTGGTGTAACGTCTAAATAATTTCTACTGTTAATCGAAAAACGATAGCTGGGGCAATAACTGAAAATTGAAAAGCGGCCCGTTCTCTGTAGGAATTAATTTATCTAATGTTTATTTCCATACTCCTAAAAGGTATTGTAGTTTCGTTTTTCAGAAACTCCTCGCTACACTTTACCAGTAACGATGCTTTATTTTGGCTTATATATAGTGTGTAGTTTGTATCGAACTATACTGGCTTCTCTAGCTCAGCTGTTGAGATCTAACGACCCAAGGGAACATAGTTCCTTGTACAGTAAATGAATGAACAATCTGAAAAAGATAAATCTGTTCATTTGGCCCGTGCCTATTCAAAATATAAGTGCACTTTTCAGTCATACGTTTTTGCTGTCCCAGAAGAGGCTGACTGAAATGGAACTTTCTTATTCATACTTCTAGTTCATGGGGGATGCAGTGGTTGGTATCCCTAACAAAGATCAGCAGGCCTTGGTGGAACAGACTGTCTCCAACTGCAGGGATCAGGAGGAGAGGCAAGTGAAAAAGCAGTTTGTAAATATGCCCTCAGAGAGATATAATGTTCTTAGATTTAGTTTAGTAAATCTATGCTTGGAGATCCTATTACAATGCAAGCGCTCTCACTCCAGACATTTCTAAAATGTAGTTGCCTGATGGTGGAAATAGCTATCGAGCTGTCAGATTCCCTCTCCATTCTCAAGAAATGCCTCAAGTCCCATGTTTTCTAGGAATACCTCTACTAGCCTGTTGCCACTCTTATATTCCCTAAATGTTCTTAATGTTACTCATTCAGCTTATTGAATATTAGTTTTATTAGGTTCTTGCTTTGTTTGTAAGATGATGTGTAGCTCTTGCTTCAGTATTGCTTACTTTTATGCCATGACCACGACTGGGAGAGCACTGCTGACGTCCTGTTTTTTTCTTTTCCGCGTTTTGTTTATGTTTTTTTTTTTCCATAGTCCACTAGCCTTGTTAACATGTTTCCCATTTACTGGCTCTTTTGGATCATTCCATCTTAGTTTATCAGATTTAAGACGAACTTCCCACCTGACCACCTCAGATCTGCCTAAAAATCCAGGGGGAACATATGCCTCCTAATAGAGAATGTCCAGAATTTCAGGTCTTTACTGTCATTAGTTTTTGCAATCAATCAATAAAGAAACAAATACATTTTAAAGAATGGTGTTGTGTGGGTGTTTTTAGGCCTTTTTCTGTGTATTGATGGGGCCCTTTTAAACCGCAATATCTAGAAAAATATTTGGTCTAGGGCTGTTCTTATCGATTATATCAATGTTCGAGTAACCGACCAATTAATCTGACTATTTATTGAGTAATCATTTATAATTAATATACTATATTACATTGAAATTGGTGCAGGGCAGGAACCAGTGAATAATTGGAGGGAGCACACTCAGTCACCAATGCGGTCAACTTAGGCACTCCAGTTCATTTAAGGGTCATATTTCTGGACAATGAAACTGGAAGATCCACTGAAATGGCATGCACACCCAGGGTGAACATGCAAGCTAAACTCACAGTGTACAGTGTACATGCTGCTCTCAATACTAAGTTACATAATATGCAATTGTCACATCGCAAGAGCCACAATAGTCTGCTTGGTTCACTTCAAACCATCAATAAATTGCGCTAAATCATGCATTATTAGTCAGTCATAGATATTAAAATGTGGAAAGCATTGCAACTTTAATAATTTACTTTTCAGCGTTATCCAGTGCAGTGGTCCTCAACCTTTTGCAAGCTGGTCCCCCCCAAAGCTGGCTCATTGCAGTTGGGGCCCCAGTGCCCCCCCCCCCCACATCCCAAACACCACCTTGCATAGATAGATAGATAGATAGATAGATAGACCTAGGCTATTATTTTTAGGCCCACATTATTATTATTATTATTATTATTATCATAATCAGTATAGGCCTATTATCATTACTAGGCTATTGCTATATAATAATGAGGTTACATGCATTATTGTTATTGTTATTATTATTATTATTATTATCATCAGTATAGGCCTATTATCATTACTAGGCTATTGCTATATAATAATGAGGTTACATGCTTTATTGTTGTTGTTATTATTATTATTATTATCATCTGTATAGGCCTATTATCATTACTAGGCTATTGCTATAATTGGGAATTGACACCAGACCTCTGATATTAATTTATGCTTTATTATTGTTATTATTACTAGGCCTAATAGTAGGCATCATCTGCATTTTTTACAGAATTGCATGTAGGTGATGTTAATGTGAGACCAGAGCCTGCTTTGCCTTGCAAAGATCCTCAATTCTTGGCTCAATGTTTGATAAACATAGCCTCAAATCATCCTCGATTTGTGCACGATTGCGGTATTTAGTTTTGAGTGCAGTCATTTTTGAGAATCCTGCCTCACACAAATATGTCGACGCGAAAGGAAGGAGAATCTTAAAGGCGACGTCACAGAGTTCAGGATATTCCTGCATCAATGCTGCCCAGAATGACGAAAGAGGGCAGGAGCTAAAAAGTTCCTTCAGTCTACTGTCACTCTTCAGCTCAATAAGCTGTTCCTGCATATCAATTGATAGCTCGTTTGCTGTGCACACAAACGGATCTCGAACCCACGCAAAAGAGCGATAATCCTCTTTAAAGTACGTCGCAAATTGTTTTCACCACAAAAGTCTCCAAAAACACCAGTAAAAGTCACTGGATTTGTCGCTTTTGACAAAAAAAATAAAAAGTCGTCAGGAGGATGATTTGTTTGTGCTATAATCAGTGCTTGAAGTGGGGAAAAAGGTGGCGGTACTCACTTTGCATTGGCAAATCATTACATTTTTACAGTGAAAAACAAAACTTGGCGATATTGCTGTTACAACAATTTATTGTTGTTTATTTATTAACATAAATGTATTTAAATATGTTTGTGTGTGCGTGGCTGCGTGCGTGCGTGTATTTCACAAAAACTAAAGGAAAGCTTTAACTGTAGCCTATATTCTGACTAGTTTATTCGTTTTTATATATACACACACACACACACATATATATATATATATATATATATATATATATATATATATATATATATATATATATATATATA